TTTTTGTCACAGAGAGACTCCACTCACACCTGCCAGGGAGACAGAACAGCCAGTGTGTGTTGTTAAGTTTGTGCACAGACAAGGAGACAGACGTGTTTGAGATAATGTTGGATATTTAACCATAATGCTCTTTCAGCAATTTCTTTTTCACTGAGTATACTGACACAAAGATATCTGGCCAAAAACAACTGCCTGTTGTCATAAATATGGATTAAAATAACACTTAAAGGTCAGCGATTAAAAAGAGAACTTGTAAATAATGTGCAAAGTGGAATCACAGTATTTTTTGCTTTAATTGCTGATTTATAGGTAATATGACTTTACTGTGCATGTACTATCCCAGGACATGGTAGATGTACTCAAAAATGCCACTAGGTGGCGTATAGCACTCAGGAGGAATGTAAACCCCTCTTCAGTTCAGCTGTAAACAAACTCAGGTTCCTTTTACTTTAATATTCATTTGCAAGGTTTAGGACCACACCCCTTTCTCACACCCACCAGGCCACGGTGTGTCGGAAATATTTTTAATAACACGGTTACTTCATTGTCCTGCGGGGCTCCTCCCTAAGTGCAAACTGAGCAAGCAACGGGTGCCTAACCTGCACGTTTGCATGTCACGTCTGTGCCATTGTGCAGCTGCTTGGCCCATAGTCGCTCACCTGTCTGACCAATAGCACGTGAGAGCATGGCAAGCAAAGAATTGGCGTCAAACACATCTTATGTCACATCCCTGTGCTTTTTCTGCTTTGTCAGTGGTCAGTGGCTGCATCAGTAAGGTGCTTGAACTCAACGTGAACACCGGGCATCCTCTGATGTTTCAGTGTGACGACAGCTACACCCTGGTGGGAGCTCCACTTTCCCCACCTGCCAACATGAGGAAAATAAACTCTTGTGCAGCAGCTTGTCTACATTGTCAAAAATCCCTTTTACAACAGGAAGACAAACACACCCTCAAAACTCTTTGCATCATTATTGAGTTCCTTAATCAGTTTCACAACACTTGCCGTGACAAGAAGTCACCCACTCAGCTGCTCTTAATCTGCAGTCTGAGTTTGGTGAAATGTGCTGGTTTTTGAGTCGTATCAGGAGTGACCTGCGTCTTAGAGCCGAGATAAGCTGGGATATGTTTTAATGCTATATCTCTGAAACATATCAGTGATGCAAACTAGAGCTGTAAGTAACTTGTAAGTCACTGAATAGTTAAATGATGTCAAAGGGATTAATTGTTCTCCATCTTCTGATTCTGGCTTCAAGTAGCAATAATATATATTAACTTGCTGTTCAAAATCCAAGTTACACAAGGACAAGAAAAATGAAACACACAGGCCTTTTAAACCTCGGGGTAAAAGCAGACGACAAAATTTGGGGTATAAAAACCAGCACAGAGCAGTGGAAGAAAGATCTCGCTATACTTACTTACTAAGATTTTGGGTGATTTGCTACCTGTGTGTTTCAGGTAGTCAACGTAAAAGGAAGTTCCACCAACTCTTATTTTTCTCTGTATCATGAACTGTGTGAATACTTTCTGTAGACTGGATCCAGGAACAACCTCACCCTTAAACAAGAAAAACAACTTCCAATGACACAGCAGTTTCACATACCTGAGTAACAAACAGCCTGAGGTGCACTCATCTCATTGTTTTGTTAACTAGGCAAAAATACTCCAAGCGATATTATTTTAAGACATTTTGTTAAAACATTTGTTATTTTAAAAAAATCAGCCATGCAGTAGGTTTTATCAGGATTTAAAGACCTGATTCTTGACTTTTTATTGTAACTCCCACCAGATGAGTAAACCTTAACAACAGAGGCACACGTCTGTATTTCTGCTTTGATATGATGGGAGTGCCAGCTGAACTGAATCCAGGAATATGGGAAATTTAGAAATTGCTTTTCTCACTCGGCACAAGTCTGAATAAAAACATCACCTGACAGCAGTTTTATGACTGAATCATTAAAAAAAATGCTGCATTTGAATTAGAAACAAATGCAAAAACGTTCACATGATAGCTGAAACATGAGGATGTTACTTTCTTAATAATCTGAAAAATAGTTTACTGCTATAAATAATAAAAAGAAAAGGGTTAAAAATCCATTTTCATTCATTTTCATCAAAGTCAGTGTGTAAGAGCTCATCAGACTAACACAGAGGACTTCAGAGCTGCTCTTACCAAATGGACAAATACATTTTTATCTGTCTGTCTGATGCATGTTGGACCCGTTCTTATCTATGCACAAGTACAGATACTAAAGCAGACAGTCAAACCACTGATTGGGCTCCACACTGAATCCCTGTGTGCAGTCTGAAACTCAAATGACTGTTCAGATGCTTTACATGAAA